CGAACCAATTTTTTTTTAACGCGGTGTGCCCTCGACTTTCGCTGATACCCGATATTTATTCATCACATCCTTTTTATTTCTTCTATAATTGCTTCGGCGGCATCCATGGTTCAGCTCTCTACATTCTCTACACACTTACGACACGGCCAATCCCAGGAACGCCACGCGCCCTCCAGTAGCGACTTGGACTGCAACCATGTCGCCCATTCCTGGCCCGAGAGCTGGACCTCTATGCCCTGCAGTGGATTCGCACTCGCTTCGCTACATATCTGCATTTTTACCTTACGTGGAAGGGGGGAGGGGCGTTCGGAGGCAGTTCTCAGCACTTTGCACCTCTCGACACGACATGCTGTCTCGGATCTACATTAATTCTCCGCGGCTGAGCATGAGGATTTTCCAGGAAATGGTTTTACGCCGGCTGGAGTACTGGATCCTCTTCGCTTGCCGGTTTCCGGAACATTCAAGTCCTGGGGAACAACTCGAGCATTCAACTAGAAAGGGAGGACGGATTGGTAAGGTGGATGGGATGGAGGGATGGAGGAATGGAGGGATGATTTTGCTGAACCATTCCCTCGCTTTATATTCAACCTGGCTTGACGTTCGGGGGATAAGGGAGGATGAGTGTTTGTGGAAGTTACTGCACACAGATATCATGATCATAGTAGAGGCTATTGCCAACTAATAATACACACTAAGGTACCTTATATTCCTGCCTGTTGCCCCCAGCCTCACGTGGTCTATCTTGCTGTGACTGTTCCTATTTCTGTTTCTGAAGCTAGGTATATGGCAGGAGCAGCTGTGGCTGTGACGTATCCCCGTACCCCTTACCTGTCTCTCGAAGGGAAGGGAAGGTATGCAGGGTAGCACCTTCCCTCTGGCTTCAACTACATCCCAACACGAACGCCACAAAGCTTTATAACCCCCCCGAACTCATTCCCTTTCACCACCTAGGTTCCCGTCCCCCCCTGAGGTGGGATGGTGCAGTGGGAGAGGCTTTGGATTAAACAAATACCCGAGATGGCATACCTCTAGATCCTGTAGGGCGCGCACCAAAGGTGGGCGTGAAGGACGGGCACGGTTCGAACCGCGCCCGGAACCTTTTGCTTTTTTTTCTCCCCCCCCCCCCCCCCCCGGCCCCTTTTTCTTTTTCTTTTTCTTTTCTTTTTCCTTTTTTTCCCTTTTTACAATCCTTTGATTCTCTTCTCCTCTTCTCCTCTCCATGCTCTTACCCCAGATAAACATTCATCTACAGCTGCGTCTATGACCTCTTCTTCACTCGACCAGCTTCCCGTCCCAACTCCTCCAAAGCCCTCTCATAAGCCGCCATCTTGTCCTCCTCAAAACGTGCCGGCTCAGGCGCGTCCTTCTCCTTCTCCTTGTCCTCCTCTCCTCCCACTCTCTCCCCACCATCATCCTCGGCACGAGGCCTAACACCAATCATCAACCTCGCCACGGGCCGACTCCGCCGTATACCCTCCCACTTGGCCACCGCGCCCCAAAACCATCCGCTCTCCCGCGCTTCGACGAGGGAGAAGGCCCGCCCGCGGCGTCCGGCCCGCGCAGTACGGCCCACGCGGTGCACGTACGCCGCAGGACCCGCGGGGAGGTCGTAGTTGACCACGTTGTCGAGGGTGGGGAGGTCTATACCGCGCGCCACGAGGTCGGATGCGACGAGGAGCCGGGTGGACCCCCCCGCGGCGAACGAGGCGAGGATGCGGCGTCGGTGGGAGGTCTTCTGCGTCGACGTCAATGTCGCCGTCTGGCCTTCCCAGGCGGGTTGCAGGAGGAGCAGGAGGCGGGAGAGGCGGAGCGCGGCTTCGTTGGATTTCGTGAAGATGAGGACCGTCTTTTGGAGTGGGGGCTCTGCTGCGGCGGTGGCGGATTCCGAGGAGGACGTGGAAGATGAAGAGGAGGATGACGATGATGAAGAAGAAGAAGAAGTCGACGAAGAAGAAGCTGACGAAGATGTGTCGGATTCTTCGTCCGAGCTGGTGTCGTCTGCCTCCTCTGCCCTCGACCCTGACGACGTGGCCGACTCGGCCGGCGACAGAAGATAATCGCCTTGCAGCAGCTCGAGGAGATATAGCGGCTTCAAGTTGGGGTCGTGCACGCGGACCGCAAACTCTTCCAGCAGGCTAGGCAACGTGTGCTCGGCCGTCTGCGGCTTCCGACCGTCGGCGTCCGCCCCCTCGAGGACGATGAGCTGCGGCCGCCGGAGCTGCAGCCCGCCCAGGAGACTCAGGTCGCGGGTGAGGGTGGCGCTGAGGACCAGTTTCCGGACGCCCGTCAGGTTGGAGTCTGGGAAGTCGCGGGCGCTGAAAACGTTGTCCGTGCGTAGCTTGGGCATCACGACGTCGAGCCAGCCCTGGAAGCTCTGGGCGAGGAGCTTGTCGGCCTCGTCGACCACGAGCCAGCGGACGTAGTGGAGAGTGAAGCCGGGGGTGTGGCGGATGTGGTCCACAAGCCGTCCGGGCGTGCAGAGTAGGACGTCGACCTTTGAGTTGTATTCGACGACGTGGTCGGGCAGGTTGCCGAGCAAGGGCTTTGTTGTATTCGTCGTCGCCTGCGCGTCGTCTGCTTCCGGGTCGGCAGCAGCAGCAGCATCATCATCGTCATCATCGTCATCATCGTCATCAACGACCTTCCAGGCCTCGCGATCGCGTCGTAATGCGTCTTGGTACGCTTCCGGGTCGTACCGCTCCGTCTTCTCGACCAAGCTTGCTTGTTCCTGCCTGAGCTGGTGGCTGCCGACCGAGATGCCGATGCGCACGCGCTTCTCCCCCCGCCCGTCGAATGCACCCGCACACAGCTTGAAGACCTCGTGGGCCTGGCTGACCAGTTCTCGCGTGGGGAGGACCACCAGGGCTCGGAGCCGCGTCACCATGCCTTGGCTGATGTCCCGGACGATGGGCAGCGCGTAGGCCAGGGTTTTGCCGGAACCGGTGGCGGCCGCGACGAGGAGGTCGCCTTGACGGTGCTTGCAGGACGGGAGGAGGAGAGGGATGGCGGCGGTTTGGACGGCAAAGGCGTCTTTGAATCCTTTGGATTCGAGGAACTTGGCTGCCCTGGCGTGGATCCCGATGTCGCGGAAGGGGGTCCTCGTATCGGGCCCGACACGGATGGGCTCTGCCAGCCACGAAGGGAGGATATCGTAGGTCGGCTTCGAGGTGTCGGCCTCCACGGGCTTGGGCTGGGGAAGCGGCTCTAGGCCGTGCTTTCCGAGGTCATCTGGCTTCGGCTGTGCCTCTGGCTCGATGGGTCCAGCGGTGTCGGTATGTGACCTTAGCTCTGGTGCAGTGGCCAAGGACTTTGCTTTCTTGGCCAATATAGCAGCATGGCGGGAGGTTGCATCATCCTCGTCGGCTTCCTCCTCTTCGACCTCTGAAGGTTTCTTCTTTTTCTTCTTCTCTTTTTTTGGCTTTTTAGATTTGTCTTGTTTCTCGGTTTGCCTAAAGTCCTCCTCGTCTTTGTCGGCAGACTTCTTCTCCCTATTTGAATCACCGAGATCGTCTGGCGTCAAGGTATGACTTGAAATGCTCGCCGTATCGCCACTCGTCACAGTGCTTGAGGCAGGCGGCGCGTCGGGAAGAGCGGACTCTGGTACAGCAGGATCCGCGTCATCCTCTTTGGCCCTCTTGTCCTTCTTCTTCTTGGTTTTCTTTCTGTCCTTCTTTGGTGATTCTGGGATATCCGAGTCGCCTCTCAGAACCACATCGTCTGACTTTTTCGACTTCTTGGGCATCGGCGCAGGGCTCGAATCATGGCTAGGGGCGGTTGTCGCATGTTTGCGCTTCTTTGGGGAAGGTGATTCAGTCGGCACATGGTCACCTGTCTGGGCTGAGGGCTCTACCACGGCCTTTGCTTTCCGTGGAGGAATATACCGGGCGTAGGAGACTGGTGCGAGAGGGTCGACAACATTGGTCTGCTCGGGTTGACTCGGTGGATTGGCCTGTGGAGGGGGGTCCTGCGCCGCGGGCGGAGGCGGCTGCCTCGGCCGAGACGGCGGGATATAGCGGTTGTACATGTCTCAGGAGTCTGTCGGACAATGATCTTTACGCCATGAACTGGTCAAGAATTGCAGTGGTGAGTGTCGCCCTCGAAGCAATGATGTGAGGCGGGGGGTTGAGCTCCCGCGGTTGGTATTGCTGTACGTATTTCGTGCCAATCTGGGAGCTCCAGAAATTTTTGGGACCGTTATCTCTTATCGCGATTCTGCCCTTTCCCACCGCTCCAATTCATATCTTATCGCAACATTTCTATCTAGGTATCTTATCGAGTCTGGACCTGTCGCGACAATGAAAACGCCAACATTGTATTCCTCTGTGCCATCTCAAGTCGAAATCCACTCGAACCTACCCCTCCATAACGTCCCATATGCCCTACAGAAGCTTCAACTCTCACATGCCAGCGATAACCATCACAATACTCGCTCTTGCGGACTCGAGTCCGTCTCGCACTCCCACATCCAGGCAGCCCAGGACGAAGCTCCTCAGCCGTCACCATGGCCCGAACATATAACATTGCCATGGTCTGCGACTTCTTCTTCCCACAACCAGGAGGAATCGAAAGCCACATCTATCAGCTTTCGTCCAAGCTGATCGATCGCGGCCACAAAGTCATTGTCATCACCCACGCTTACGAGAACCGCAAGGGGATTCGGTACCTGACCAACGGCCTCAAGGTCTACCACGTCCCCTTCCTCGTCATCTACAGACAGGCCACTTTCCCCACTGTCTTCTCCTTCTTCCCCATCTTTCGAAACATCGTCATTCGCGAGCGCATCGAGATCGTCCACGGACATGCCAGCTTGAGTAGTTTCTGCCACGAGGCCATCCTTCACGGCCGCACCATGGGCCTTCGAACCGTCTTCACCGACCACTCGCTCTTTGGCTTCGCCGATGCTGCCAGCATATTGACCAACAAGATACTCAAGTTCATTCTGAGCGATGTCGATCACGTAATATGCGTCAGTCACACCTGTAAAGAGAACACCGTCCTCCGAGCTTCTCTCGACCCTCTCATGGTCTCGGTCATCCCCAACGCCGTCGTCGCAGACAACTTCCGACCTCGCAGCTATCCTTTGCACCCTTCGGCCGACGGCTTCGCTCCCAACCCGCCACCGGCGAATCATCCGGGACCCAACGACGTGATTACCATTGTCGTGATATCCCGGCTCTTCTACAACAAGGGCACGGATCTCCTGACGGCGGCCATCCCGCGCATCCTTTTCAACCACCCGAACACCCGTTTCATCATCGCCGGTTCCGGCCCCAAGGCGATCGATCTCGAGCAGATGATCGAGCAGAACGTGCTACAAGACCGCGTCGAGATGCTGGGCCCCATCCGCCACGAAGAAGTGCGCGACGTCATGGTACGGGGCCACATCTACCTCCACCCCAGCCTTACGGAGGCCTTTGGCACGGTGATCGTCGAGGCCGCCAGCTGCGGCTTGTACGTCGTGTGCACCCAGGTGGGCGGCATCCCGGAGGTGCTCCCTTCGCACATGACCGTCTTCGCCAAGCCCGAGGAGGACGATCTCGTGGCCGCCACCGGCCGCGCCATCGCGGCCCTCCGCGCGAACAAGGTCCGCACCGAACGGTTCCACGAGCAGGTCAAGAAGATGTACTCGTGGGAGAACGTCGCCATGCGCACCGAGCGCGTCTATCACGGCATCTACGGCGAGCTCAGCGACGACGAGTTTTACGGGTACGAAGGGTACGGCGTCATGCGCGGCCGCGGCGGCCAGCAGAGCTTCGCCCTCATCGATCGGCTGAAGCGGTATTACGGCTGTGGCATTTGGGCGGGGAAGCTCTTCTGCCTCTGCGTTATCATCGATTACTTGCTGTATTTTGCATTGGAGATGCTGTTTCCGCGCGAGAATATTGATATTGCGCGCGACTGGCCGAGGAAGACGCGTCCGAAGTCCAGCAAGCAAACGTGACGGGGCAACAAGAGCAACTTATGGCTTGGTCATGCTGACTAGTTGCTCTCTTTCCCCTCAACTACAACACCGCCGCTTCCCTTGGGTTCGACAGACTTCCTTCCGTCTTCTCTTGGGCTTATCAACCGTGGTCCTGCCTCCGTATTTCGAGTCTACGAGGTTCTTGGAGGCAGTCCGTCTTCTCTTCGCCGATAAAGGATTTTGGAGCCTTCCTCCTCCTACCCCTTCCTAGTCTGCTGCATCATCTTCGGCCTCATTTCGATGAAAGCAGTGGGAACTGGGCGCAATCCTCTTTGTTCGGTTCCGGCTGGCTGCAACTCGATATTTCCACTGCGGTCCGTTTCTCAGAACCCCGGCTCTTGCCTGAGCTCGCCTTCTTTCTTCCTTCTTCCTTCTACCTATACCTCAATATCAGCAAAGAATCCTCTCTCTTCTTGCCTCTTCCACCTTAATACCTCTCTCAACAACTAGAAGGCTTTTGTTCATCTTTCCATCTCCCATCTCCCACCTTCCAATACTTCACCTGGCTTAGGACCTTCCGTCCCTTATCTTGGAGTGTCACACTTCCAATTATCTCCAACTATCGCGTCTTCTTTTCCTCCTCTCTTCATTGCAAGCACGACCATCTACCTCACTCTGTTGCTAGACTACCAACTGTCTTGAGACGTTATGGCCGAGGAACGTCGACGCCCGGCACTTGGTCGGGTGGCTACACTGGGCGATCTATACGATGCCCGTCGGGATGACTTCCTTCCCTTGAACTTGATCTGCGGCGAAGTTCCGCCCAGCGCTGTTGATTCTCACCCAAACCCCTCTCGAGAGACTCACTTCAGCGAGACCGATACCTACACAGAGCGTTTCAACCATATGAAGGTCGATCCTGAGCTTGCAGCTAGCATGCTGGCCAACATGGTCAAAGCAACGGGCGCTGGTGCCTACCTCACCACCAAGGGATACCAAGGAATGTCTGCCATGACGACCCTTTACCACACTGTCACTATCTGTGAGACGAGACTCCTCTTGAACAGTCCAGACCTCGCCGCCGTGTTGGATACGGATAAGCTTCAGAATGACACTGCCACCCACGTTTTGGTGGGAATCACCTGGGGAGCTCAAACTATCGTGGCTTCCCGGCAGGAACTTGTGGACAAGTCTCACGAGTCGTTCTCGCGATCCTACCTCAAGTCGGAGCTGACCAAGCTCGCGTCTTTCCTCGATGGAAACGAGATCAACGGGGCGCCGGATACTCAGCAAGGAGATGTTCAGCCCGTGGCTCCCGCGAACACGACGTTCACCATTTACTCGGACTTCCTTCCAGATCACGATGGAGTCACTCTGGCATCCCGCGCTTCCGCCTGCGACATCCTCCAAGCGAACATGGACAGATTTACTACCTCCAGTCAAGGCAAAGGCAGACCGATCATGCTCAATCTGCTTCCTATCCCTCTTCTGAGATACATGATGCCGGGGAATATTCCCCAGAGAACCGTGCCCAAGGTTGGAAACCCAGCGACTCTTAGCGACTGTATTCGACTCTTCGATGACTGGGCTACGACCATTCGAACACTGGAGGACACCTGTGAGGGCCTGCATTTATCGACATCAGGGAATCACAACACGGCGGCGAAGCAAAAACTGGGATTCGCACTTGCGACGCAGAACGAGTTTCACAAGCGCTTCGTAAAGGCCCTGTCCGAGTGTCGGTCTGGGGTCGCTTCGGCCGAAGCATTCTCCGCCCTACTGCCGGAATTTGCCTGTGATAAGTCGATTCCAGAGGTGCCGGTGCCGGTGCAGGGGCAGGTGCAGGTGCCCGAAGAGGTTGAACCAACGCAAGACTGCAGGGCCATCTTCGAAACTCTCTTCGTCGAATTGGGCGGCTTCCTCGTCAAGAAAGAAGTAGCTGACGATGCTGTACGGCACGAAGAAGAGGTTTTCGTTTTCTTGTATGACGAAACATCAGGACACAACGCAGACGCATGGGATAAGAATGCCGGCTTTGTGGTCGACTTGCTATCACCCCACCAGCCTCAAGCAGTCGTTATGGCCTGTGACTGCACCGGCGAGATACCAGCTCTTCACACGCCCCGGGTTTCTCATTACTGGAGAGGCAAACTTGTTACAGCCGACGTTCTAAGCAATCAGGACGAGTTGGAAGACAAGTGCTTGGCCCAGTACGATCCGGACCAGCTGGATTCGACCGAGGCACCGCCTCCACGGGACCGACGGCCTGTGCAGATCAAGTGTCCCGGCAGAAGGTGCAAGAACTCCGATCCGCAGGACTGGTGGTGCTCCACCTGCGACCAGCGACTCGAATATGCCGACAGCTTCATCTACTGCAGTTGTGGACGTGTCCCTCCTCGGGCATTCAAGTTCAAGTGCACCTCGGAAGAGCATGGGCGTAACTTTCTCAAATACCCACCCAGCATGCTTGACAGGCACCTGAGAAACCTCCAGGAGTACAAGGAGCTCAACATACTCATTCTAGGAGAAACGGGCGTGGGCAAGTCGACCTTTATCAACGCATTCATCAACTATCTCCTCTTCGATTCTCTAGATGAGGCGATTGCCGACGAGGAGTTTTCGTATCTCATCCCTTGCTCGTTTTCGATGCAGTGCGTTGATCCCGATGATGAGGACGCAGGCTTTATCCAAAAAGATATCAAGGTCGGCGGGGACGAGGACCACAACGAGAAAGACGGATCGGACGGCCAATCTGCCACCCAGGGATCCAAGGTGTACCGGACAGCCATTGGCAACCAGGTCTTGAGGCTCATTGACACGCCTGGCATCGGTGACACGAGAGGAGTGGAACAGGATCAGAAGAATATGGAGAACATCCTAGCCACGGTCGGCCACCACGATAATATCCACTGCATTCTCGTCCTGCTCAAGCCGAACATGTCTCGTCTGACCCTGATGTTCCGGTTCTGCGTGAATGAGCTTCTGACGCACCTCCATAAGGATGCGGCCAGAAACCTCGTTTTCGGGTTCACCAACACGCGCCAGACGAACTACATGCCCGGCGACTCGTATAAGCCCCTCCAGACCTTGATCAGGAGCCACAAGTCCATCGACATTAAGCTGGGCCGCGAGGCTGTCTTTTGTTTCGACTCGGAGAGCTTTCGGTGCCTCGCAGCCCTACGGGAAGCCGGCATAGAAATGGACAACATTGACGACTTCCGAAGCAGCTGGGATCGATCTGTTCAGGAGGCGCGCAGGCTCATCGCTCGCTTCGATTCACTGAAGCCCCATGCGACCCGGAACACTCTGAGCATCAACTCTGTCCGGCAGATCGTTATTGGTCTCACGAAACCAATGGCCGATATCTCCAGCAGCATTGAGTCCACTATCCGACTAGCCAAGGACCAGCTGGAGGATTTGCAGGACGTGCAATGCCGCGGCGAGACGCTGCGGTCCAAACTGCACTTCAAGAAGGTTGACATTCAGGTGACCCAACTCGACCTCCCTCGAACCGTGTGCCGCAATACGGACTGCGTGGAATACAGAAACATCGGGAATGGCGAGCTCCGACCCGTGTATCGCTCACTCTGCCACAACCCGTGCTACCTGAGTGGAGTCGCGCTGGAGGTCGTCGGTGACTCCAGGTTGGCCAACTGCGCGGCGATTGATCGACTCACACAGATGTGCCGTCGTTGCAGTCATCACTGGCAAGAGCATCTGCACTTTCTATGGGAACAGCAGGAGGTGATTGTAGAGCAAAAGGACGCGAGCGTGGAGGCGCAGCTGCAGGCCAATGTGTCCGACGTGGAGCTGAAGCGGCACGCCATCGAGACCATCAACCAGAAAATCGAGGAGACAAAGCAAGAGCGCCAGACCCTCCAGGACGCCTCCATTCGGCTCGGATTGTTCCTCAAGGCCAACAGCATCGCTCCGTACAACGACGACATGCTCGCCTACCTGGACGAGCTCATCAAGGAGCAACGGCAGACCGTGGCGAAAGCCAAATCCGACCATCTCCCCGGGGCCTCCCAATCGGAAGCGAGACTCGATTCTCTTGCCCGCATGAGAGCGGAATACGAGCAGAGGATCCGCGTCCTGGAGCAGGGCATGACGAGCGACGGGACCACGACCGTTCCCGACGAGACGGACATTCCGGATCTCCTGGACCAGCTGTATTCGCTGGAAGGATGGGGCGACACGCTCCGGCAGATCAACACCGTCGCCACGGCCGCCGGCGCTACGGCCTACCAGGAGACGAACTGGACGGCGAAGGGGCATCTCCAGAAGGTCTTTTCGGGCATGGCGACATGCTTCTCTTCCGTCCCCTCCGTCGCTTCGCGGGCGATGGGTTGGGTGGGGATGTCGTCACCCAGACGGCCTCCACAATTGGCTTCCCGTCACCACCAAGGTGATGATGGTGGTGGCCCCGTGCAAAAGCGTCGCTCGACTTCCCAATTTTCCTCGGCGGGCTTGGCGACGCCCAGCATGGCTTCTCGTCAAGCCGGTGTGTCTGTGTCCCCCTGGGTTGAACGACGTGCATCATACCCATACCACGGCGACAGGAGAGGTGTCCCACGGGCCGGATCTCCACGGGAGCCGCCGATGCGCGGAAGGCAGGATTCTCCGGCATATGGCCGGTATGGCGGACAGAATCATCCGCGACACAGCTCGGCTTACTATGGGGGTCCCAGCCGAAGCCGATCCCCGGCGCCTCGGGGGCATTATGATCTTCGCCATCGCTCCCCGCAGCGAGCCAGGTATGGCAAATAGAGCCGCGTCGTTCTCGCCGCCAGCTGTCACTACACTTGCTGATAGCAGCACCAACGCTCGAGGCGTTTTTAATTGTTCGGTCCCAAGTATCCGAGTTGGAGGCTTGGGTCTCTCTTTTGCTCTACGGGGGTTCGCAATTTGCCTGAATTCGTTTTACATACTCCAGACGACTTCATTCCAGGCCCATACGATTCATCCACCACTGCGCTATTGGGCGTTTGACAGCGAATGCTCATCCTCATCATCAGACTCTAGCATGTCGCGCACCATCTGGATTTGCAACTTGCTTTGTGCCTCGGTCTCTCTTCGATAGAGGATTTGGTTACCATCGCAAAGGATGGGAATCGTTGCTTCACTTCTCTGGGATAGCTAGCTTATGATCAATGGCCCCCATTCAGGGAACCAATCTACACGTACATACCGTAGGGCTATTACTTTGCTAGTTCCATGTCCTTAATCAATGCACGAAACTTACCTTATGGTCAATAACTGACGTCTTGGTGTGGTTGTGTCCGATGTGGTGTCTTAATTCCTAACTCCGATAACTCCTCGTGTGGAACTCGGCAAAGACAGCAGCGATTCGTGATCAAGGCAATATACACGTCATCCATGCATGTTTTGCGATGAGTGGAGGGCGGAGTGCAGTTCGGGATGGTGGAAATACTTTGTAGACTGGCGGTTGGTGCGAAGTAGCGTCCATCTTGACAAATCGGACAGTGGAGATGAATCTCCATCTCTACCTTGTGTGCTCATTCCCATTAGCTGTGTACCTTATTCCTCTACCTCCTCTTATAAATTCAAAGTAGGTCATGCAGCATTTGGAAGACAACTCCAAACGACTTGAACTGAGAATCCCATCACCCGTGATCCAAAGCGCCGACTTCTACCAACTTCACAATCATGACCCGTCACGTCCTCATCCTGGGAGGCCACGGCAAAGTCTCCCAGCTCATCACCCCCATCCTCCTCCGCAACTCCTGGACCGTCACGTCGGTGATCCGCAGCGCCGACCAAGTCCCGACCATCGAGAAGCTGAGCGCGGGAGTCTCGGCCGGCAAGCTCAACGTGCTGGTGCGCAGCATAGAAGACGTAAAAGAGCAGGCGCAGGCGCAGGCCGTGCTGGATGAAATCAAGCCCGACACTGTATTCTGGAGCGCCGGGGCTGGCGGGAAGGGGAATCCAGAGAGGGTACGGATGAGGATCCATCATCATTACGGCCGTTGCTCTTTTACTGACAAAAGGGGAAACAAAAAAAAAAAAAAAAAAAAAAAAAAAGACATTCGCAATCGACCGTGACGCAGCAGTCCACTTCATCCGAGCAGCGGCCGCCACGCCGTCCATCCACCAGTTCATCCTCGTCTCGTACCTCGCTTCCCGCCGCCAGCGCGCCCCCTGGTGGGACGACAAGACCTGGGCCGACGCCGAGAAGATGAACACCATGCTGGCGCGCTACTTCGCCGCCAAGGTCGTCGCCGACGAGGAGCTCATCCGCCAGGGGGCCCGGCGCGACGACTTTGCGGCCATCAGCGTGCGGCCGGGCGTGTTGACCGACGAGCCTGCCGGGAAGGTCGAGCTCGGCAAGACGGTGGGCGTGAGTGGGGATACCAGTCGGGCTACCGTGGCGGAGGTGTCGGCTGCGTTGATGGAGAGGGTCGGGGAGGCGAAGACGGGGTGGCTGGATTTGCTCGATGGGACGGAGGACCTGGAAGGGGCGGTCGAGAGGGTTGTGAGGGAAGGAGTGAATGCTGCGGAGGGGGATGAAGTGTTTGAGAACCTGAAGAAATAGATACGGTGCAGCGCCTGGAAGAATGCGTGACGTGACCTCTTGCAAGGGGAAGAGGCGTAGGACGAGGGACCTGGAACACTGCGACATTACAACCATGACATGGACTGCCAGTCAACACAAGAGAAACATATTTTTTATTCTTATCCAAATGGGTATCGTTATGAGGAGGGAGGAGGAAGGGGGGGCTATAATCTACTGCGCCATCAATTCGATGTGCTTCAGTTCCCTGTTCGAGTGTCACTGTCAGTAAAGCGGGTTTTCACTGCCATGCCAAAGGGGAAGACGTACTCCTGCACCTGGTGGCCAACTTTCATGGGCGGATACTGAACCTCCTCGCCCTCATCCTTCCCGAGATTGAACTGCTGAACGCGGACCTGGCGCGCTCGTTCGGCCAGCTGCGGCACGGGAACCAGGTCAAAGTCGGAGGAAAGATGCCAGAAGAACGTGGACGAGATACGAACCAGCGGCCGGTCGGGGAACTGCTGGCGCCGTCGCTGGATCGTATCGACCGTCTTGCCGTTGACGACGACCTCGTGATAGCCGGCCTTGATGAGTCCGCCCGTGATGTGCTCCAGCTGCTTGCCCGCCTGGACGAGCAGGTGGTTGCCGGGCGGGATGGCGACGGCGATGCGGCGGCCGGTGTTGCGGGCCCAGACGTGGAGCCCCGGGTAGCGGCTCCGGCCGTGGATGGTGAGGAAGTTGAGGTCGGTATGGAAGCCGGCGAGGATGGTGTCCTCCTTCCCGTAGCGCTCGAGGTCGGAGGCTGTCGGGGCGAGCAGGTGGGGGCCATGGCGTGCGGCCGAGGTGAAGGCGTCCTCGGAGAGGCCCAGGCCGACGGCGGCCATGGAGGCGAGGTCGGAGACGGCCGTCTTCATGGCCGTGCCCCAGCGGTCCATGACGGGGGTCCAGCGGTCCCGGATGTGCGGGGCCTCGGGGACGACATTGGGCGCGTTGAGGCCGGGGAACTGCGTCTTCTCGGCCGGCAAGCCGTCGTTCATCCGCCAGAAGAACCGGCACTTGGGATCGGGGGAGTGGGCCGAGATGTCGAGCGGACGCTCCGAGGGGTCGAGCCGGCGGATGACATCGAGGCAGGGTTCGTCGGCGGCGCACTTGGGTTTCTCGGTATTCTCGAGAGTGACGCCGATCTGATAGGACAGCTCCGGCCGCTCGTCACGGCGCAGGGCCTCGCTGGGCTGAGCGAAATAGTCCTCCAACAGGTCGAGGAAGGTCGAGTTGTCTTCCTCGGAGACGCGCGAGTCGTGGAGGATGAGGGCGCCGTAGGTGATAAGGGCGTCGGCGGCCTTGCGGCATTCGGCCTGCACGGCGGGGCTGTCGTGGGGCTGGGAGAAGAAGAGGTCTAGGTCGATGATGGGAAGGTCCATCGGGAGCTCGTCTTGAGTCATTGGGAGAGTGGCTTGTAGCTAGCTTCGGCCGGTTCGTCGGGTGAGCACAGATAATACAGCGTTTGGACGGGTCGACTCGATGCGAAGGGGCGTGTTTTCTCTCTTTCGGCTCGTTGATGGTCCGTTCTATGCCTGTTGCAGCAAAGGATAATTTGCTCTTCGTTCGTTTTACAATGGGTTCACAAGAGTGAAGGCGAGGAGAAGATGAGAAGACATGGAATATCGAGAGAAGTGAGGAAAAGAAAAAGGAGAGGGGGAAAAAAAGATCACCGACCGAAGCACATGTCAGCTGTACAGATCAGATGAGGTACCTAACGTACGGATGCTTCGTACCTGGCCATGCATATCCCGGTCCTTCCACTGTCTCTACGCGTAGTTATCTGGAGGTTTTCTGTCGCGGTACATGTGAGTGGGGGGGGCAGACGCCTTCTCCGGTCTTTCTTTCTTTATCTGGAAAGTGGAAAGGCGGCCAAAAAGGTTGACCTGCCAAAACAAACCGCCAGGCCAGGAGGGGCAAAATGTGAAGTTGGTCCGTGCACTCTGGCCGACGACCCCGCCCCCTCATTTCCTCGACTCCTCCCGCGTCTCCGTCACCCCATGCTCTTTTGCCAACCGGACGTTCGCACCTACGGCCTTCGGCGACGCCCGTGGACCAGACCGAGGCCGGTGGTCTCACCATTGGGATATGAGGAGATCGAATACACTGTATAATATGATGTAAATCTCGCCGAGTAATCTCTGAATATTGGGTATCATGTTGATATGTCTGCAGTTATCGACTCCTCGCTTCGGCGAAGACAACGTCCGTATACAGGACCGAAGAGGGGGATTAGGAAAGGAAATGGAAAGAAAAATAAACAAAAAGATAAGAAAAGAAAAAAAAGTGTCAAAAATGAGACGCCCGCCCTTAATCATAATCCTGCCACATTATCAAAACTCCATACCCATCATTTCGATCATCACTATCATTCATTCCATCCGCGGAATATCAATCAACTGGCAGCGCAATGAAAGCACGAGGCTGCCCTGATCGTTCTAGAGGCGGCATCAGACACATAAACTCCCGTCCCGTCATATGCTCACCGTCTGATAGATTCGGAATAGGGCAGCCTGCTCGTATAACCCCCGTCGGCTCCCGGATCGCGAGTCCGACTCGTCATGAGGTACGTAGTAGGTCTTGCAAAGGGGGCAAGTGTCGTGTTGCTTCAGGAACCATTTTGCGATGCAGTCCGAGTGGTAGATGTGTCCGCAAGGGAGGTTTCGTATCATGTCCTTGTCCTGGAGGCTTTCGAGACAGATGACGCTTTGATGAGTTAGTGGAGGAGATTTAAAAAAACAAAAAAAAAATAGGACTGTACCAAACAATAAATGTGCCGTATTGACGTGCTGCCTTCGTCTCGTCTCGTGCTTCTGATTTCCACTCTTTATACGACCTCGCTGGCGTCGACTCGTCGAGCTGCCGCATTTTCCGGGCGATGATTTCATCGCGCTCGCGGGCCGCTTCTGGGTCGGCTATAGATGACGAGCGACGGCCAGAAGGAGGAGGGCGCGATGTGATTCGGGGGACCAGGAGGGACCTAACCACCACGCAGTACCTTGCAAGTTAGACGCACATGAGTAACTATGCGTAAGAAACGGGTTGCAGGGAGACAGATACGATGCGCCAGGTTTAAAGGAGGGGTGGGCTGAGGTAGCCTCAGAGGGGTCACGATGCGAAAGGCAGTATTGTCGGTCCACGGAAGAGAGGAGGGGACATGAAAATTAAAAAAAGAAAAAAAATTAAAAAAAGGGAAAAAAAAGGGGGGGGAAGGCGAAAACCCTTACACTACGGAAAAAATAAGAACGAGGCAACCCAAAGCACCGATGAGGATGAAAACGGTGACCCAGGGCGGCAGGATGGCCAGGCCACCAGACTCGGCATCGTCGGGCCCCGACGTGGAGGTAGGACGGGGGCTTTCGGCGGAGTCGCCGGGTTCTGATGCTGCACGAGCGGAATCCATGTTGGTTGCGGGGCACGATCGAAATCAGTCGAAGAACCGCCGCCTCCTTGCTTCACCGGTCCGGTGCTCGCGTCGTTCCACTCTCGTTCCGAGGACCGAAGGAGAAGACGTTCGTTCCTCAGTTGCCACTTTTTTTCTTCTTCTTCTTTTCTCCTCGGACGAGTTATCTGTGAAGCGAACGAACGTGGAGAAGCCGAAAGGAGGTGAAAGGAGGAAAAAGTAACGCTGTAACGCCCCCGCGCAATAAGAAAATAGCGCCGTGGCGTGACTTGCGATCGTAGCGACCAGACACGCTTATTATCTGCCAGCCAGAAGGGCCTACTGGATCTCGTGACCTCGAAGAGTTGGGGAAATTGGGGGAAGAAATCGAAGTCTACCTTATTAGGTACCTACCTTAGACAGCGAGGTTCACCAGCGACGCGCGGGGCGTGATGGAAGAGTGGGGTTGACTGACAGAAAGGGAAGTGAAAATCCCTAAACACTTATTCGTCGACAACGAGACATAGATTATCAGAATGGTGACTTGATACGGAAGACGGCGGGTGTGAGTCCGGTTCCTGGTTGATGGCGGGGTAACGAATCAACAGACGAGCTTGAAGACCAAGCCTTGGAAGCCTGTGATATGAGCTTGATTTTTTTAGGGGTCAACAAATCGGTGAAGACTGATAGTACTCGGTAGTCTATGAGATGGCGTCAACAATTACCTTACTCCGTGTCAGTGTCAGTGTACACTAGTGTGGACGAAAGTGACGTTTTGGTTTTTGTTGGGGCTGGCGTGTTATTGAACGAGCACCGCCTCCTCGTTGTACCTTAGTCAATACAGTCATGATGGTCATCGTACTTGTCGTACTACTACCACCTTATGACGAGCCGATTCAGTTGTCTCTGTCGGTGAAGTCGTGTGGGACGAAATAGGTACCGTAGGTGCATGGCCCTACTTCATCCAAGCCCATGCCATGACAACATAACAAGACAGAAGCTGTATGTATGCATGCATGCATCCAGGACAGCTGTTGGAATCAACCCCAGTGGACTGGACTGAACCGAGACAACGTGGAACGTGGATGCAGATCGGGCTAGTAGGTAGGTTCCGTTCCATTACCAAGCTTCACCAAGAGGTGTAGCGCATGTACTTCGTACACCGCTGGCGGTACTTCTGTACGATCAGTAAGGTACCTTCTTAAGGCGGTCAGGTCAGGATCGGTCGATGCCAAAATTTGTTGGTCGAAACCGGAACGATGGATCGAGACAATATAAGGCACAGACCCATAGGAATCGGGTCGAAGCTTAGCTACCTTAGGATGCGACCATGCTTCTCTTTTAGCAGTGCCTTATTAATGATGGCGTCGGTTGTTTCGGATGGAAATTGTATGGAGATTCTTTCGAGGGCGGGGAGTAGGGAGCAGTATGTTGTATGGACAGACACAAGGTAATTACTCGGGACCTACCTTACCTTAGATATTAACGTAGTGTACGAAGTAGACAGCCGAACAGGCAGGAGCAATCTCGCGAACGGAGGGTTTCTTCCGTTTTGTTTGTTAGTACCTTCGGTACCTCAGATGGTGGTGGCCCGGGACTTTTCCATCACGCAGTGGCTGTCTGCAGTGCAGTGACACGTCGGTCAAAGCCTTGTTTTTGCTCTCACAACCGGATATACGCGCGATTAAGTTGAAACCTGCACGACGGTGACGAGATCAAGGCGAACCTTTTTGCTTTGCTTCCTTCCCCCCTTTCCCGACAGTTACACACAGTCGAAGGTCGAAGGAACAGGGACAGGTGGCCTTGGCATGCGACACCGTGGCGGTGGGTCCGTGTCGTGAAAGAGGTCATTTGTTAGCATGATACTCAACAATTCTCAGAAATACACACTGGATTGAAAGTATCTCATATCCTGCACGACTTCAGCTAGCGGGAAGGCCGCTGGGGCTCGAGCTCGGTCATCACCTAAATCCCCACAGACTAAGACGAGAACGGAGAGCATGCATAGCTGCCCAGTAATTAGTACAGCTGTCGGTTGACCCATTCCTTGAGTCGTAAATCAACTACCAGCTGGTTGTCTTCGGCTCTTTGGCTTTCAGGACATTACTCGTAGCTGTCGCTATACCTTCGTTGCAAGAGATATGTGCAAACGGAAAGCACAGAAACTCCATGAGGGCTGTTGGCAAACAGCAAATACAGTCCTTGTACATAATGAAATCAGAAAGGAAGCGACGTGATGGAAGGCGCCTGCGGTGTAAAACGACTATCGCCGATAGCCTATAACAGGTGATGATGTGATGGTTGAACCGGGTCTTGGCGCTAGTTAAATTGGTCGGAGCACTGCCACAATCAATCCACATCGACATAGACTTCTCCTGTCGGGAAGGCGCGATGGGAAACGGGAAATGGCCAGGGAAAAAAGGGAAGGAGCCGGCCAGCTGTACTTTCCACCACATCGTCGAGTTTTCGCCCCTTCCCCCTTTGACTTGCACTTCGTGTCGTTCCCGTTCCTTGTTTTCTCGTTTTCTCGTCTTCTCGTCTCCTCGACTTCCTTTTCAACTTCCCCTATATCCTGTTTTGGCAGAAGCAGAGACAAAGCCTGGGCGACGACTCGTCGAGGTGTTTTGACAAGATCCTTTGATCGTGCCCATAACAACCTGGAACATAAACACCTTCCAACCATATCACCAGAAAGCACCGACATACCGGCACGCATCCCTTCGTCTATCGATCGCATCGCCACTTTTTTTTATTAAACCACCTGGACTAATCTTTCTCTCTTCTTTGTTCTTCCCTCTCCCCTACGGCTTTGTTCTTTTTCTTAAGCGGGACCTTCTTTTCGGCTCCCTTTTCTCTGGTTGTCAGTGACGGCAGACTACGGATCACTGCCGTGTCACTCACCACGTCCATACGTTCATTCGCTCGCCTCGTTTCTTCCGAAGCCTTTGGATCCTTGTTACGTGGGACGATACGGGGTCTTCGAAAACCACCGATAAATCTCAGTCTTCGCCCTATTCTCCCTTCTCCAGAACTCCGAGTTCATTTATATTTGGTTTGGTCATCAACCAGGCCTCCAGCACCAACAAGTACGACACGACAGGTCCCAACTCCAGCCAGCCGTTTTCTGGCCCAACTGGCACCACCATTCCGTTAGCCAGCCAGCAGCAACGGTGGCAGACAGAGGGACATCGGCGAACAACACGATACGATATTTAGTACTGCGCCAAAACTCCGATACGTTCGTCACAGCGCCACCAACTTTCAACCCAATCGTGAAAGCAAGGTCGTTCTGTTTCGCCTCTCGATCCAACCGCCCGTATAAAGCACAGTTCTCTCGACCCAACCCTATCTCCGGACATCTACCACGACCACGTCGAAGAGCTATGCTCGCAGTCTAACCCGAATCCCTCCTTCCACTGCTTCGGTACTGCTCGCTCCGAGAACGCGTTCCCTCGATCCGCCTACTGAATCGTATCACCACGCCCTTGCTCCAGTATGGACTCGTCTTCGAGTCGCCCGGCCTCGCGTCGGCGACCGCGCACTCCCGCTATTACCGTCGATACCTCGGCCGTCAACCCTGATCGAGGTAAGCAGAACACGTCCCGTTCTGTCATTTACGTCACGTGCATACCACTTCCACAGTGCTAACTTGGCACTGCAGAACAACCGCCAATAGACCGGTCATCCTCCCCGAAGTCGCCTGCCTTGGATGATAACAACACCCTCGCCGTTCCCACAAGGACATCACGCGCCCCATCAGCCTCTTCTACCGCCAGCTTCGATGCCGCCGACGCGCTCCGAAAGCATTCGAGTGCCCGTGCTGGCAACGTGACAGGCACCGCGAAGAGTGGCCCATCCGACCCTCTGCTTCCCGACCCCGGCGAGGAGGAGCTCTTCAATGTTGCCAACAACCCCTTTGCCTTCTCCCCGTGCCATCTCTCCAAACTTGTCGACCCAAAGAGCATCGACGCTCTTGCCGCTCTCGGCGGGCTTGCGGGGCTTGAGAAGGGCCTGAGGACGGACAGGAAAGCTGGTCTCAGCATCGACGAGATTGAAATCCCGAAACCCATCACATTCGAAGAAGCCACCGCTGCCGCACCCGATTCCCAGTCGTCCACCAACAACTCCGACTCACCCGATGCCGCAACGCTTGCCGACCGAGTCGAAGACGGCGACCGCCCAGACTCCCCCAATGGCAAGGGCTCCAGCCTCCCCTTTACCGACCGCAAGCGAGTATACGGGACGAACTCACTCCCGGAGAGGAAGTCGAAGTCTCTCCTTGAACTGGCGTGGATTGCTCTTCAGGATCGCGTCCTGATCTTGCTCAGTGTTGCCGCCGTCGTGTCGCTGGCCTTGGGCTTGTACCAAACCTTTGGTCATTCCGAGCACGAGGGTGCCAGGATCGAGTGGGTCGAGGGCGTGGCCATCGTCGTGGCCATCCTTATCGTCGTCACCGTGAGCGCATTGAACGACTATCAAAAGGAGCGCCAGTTTCGAAAGTTGAACAAGAAAAAGGAGGACCGCCTCGTCAAGGTTATTCGGTCAGGCAAGCCCTGTAGCATCTCCATTCACCATCTACTCGCGGGAGACGTCATGCTGTTGGAAGCAGGAGATATCATTCCCGTCGACGGCGTCTACATCGGCGGGCACAATGTCAGCTGCGACGAGTCGTCGGCCACCGGCGAGTCGGATCTCATCAGGAAGGTGCCCGCCGAGGAGGCGCTAAGCACCCTGCGTGATGGGAACCGAAATCTGCAGAGGCTCGACCCGTTTCTCATCTCCGGCGCCCGAGTATTGGACGGCGTTGGAACGTTCCTCGTCACGGCCGTGGGCGAGCATTCGAGTTACGGCAGAACCATGATGGCCTTACGCGACGATCCAGGACTGACACCGCTGCAGCTAAAGCTCAATATCCTTGCTGGTGCGTTTCTCTTCGTATTTTTATTTATTTACCTGCTCGAGATGCTTGCTTTGCTAACCATGACAATCAGGATACATTGCCAAACTCGGCAGCGCTGCTGGTCTCATCCTTCTCGCTACTCTTACGATTGAATTTCTTGCTCGGCTTCCTAGCAACCCCGGCACGCCAGATGAGAAGGGACAGAATTTCCTACAGATCCTCATCGTCGCTATCACGATTGTGGTCGTCGCCGTTCCTGAAGGGTTACCTCTTGCCGTCACTCTATCCCTTGCGTACGCGACGAAACGCATGACCAAGGAGAACAACCTTGTGCGCCACCTGCAATCTTGCGAGACCATGGGTAATGCGACCGTCATCTGCTCAGACAAGACGGGCACTTTGACGGAGAACGTCATGACTGTGGTCGCCGGAGCCCTGGGCACGGGAAGTGTCCGCTTCGGCGAGCATGATGTGTCTGAGGCGTCGGACGACGAAGCGGCCGAGCCACCGACCCCGAGCAAGATTTCCGTCATGGACGACGCGAAACCCTCCGACACGGCGTCTCCCGTCTCTCCCGCTGTTGCGTACTTCGCCACCGGTAAACTGTCGACTGGACTGGCCGCGGAATTCCGTGAGCTCGTGAAGCAGTCGGTCGCCATGAACAGCACTGCATTCGAAGCTGAGGAGAAGGGGAAACACGTTTTCGTCGGCACAAAGACCGAGTCGGCGCTTCTCGATTGGGTTCGCCGGTGTTTCGCACTCGGCCCCATTGCCGAAGAACGCGCCAGCCACCCCACGCAGCAGTTTTCTCCCTTCAGCTCGAAGCGGAAGTGCATGGGTATCGTCATTCGGTTGCCGAACAATAAGTGGCGTTTCTTTGTCAAGGGCGCGCCGGAGATTCTCCTGGCCCAGTGCAACTCGGCCGTCGCGGATCCCACCCAGTCGCTGGCACTGGCCAGACTCGGAGACGGCGAGAAAGACGAGATTCACAACATCATCACGATGTATGCTAGGCAATCGCTTCGGACGCTAGCCCTGGCGTACCGCGACTTCGACAGCTGGCCGCCCCCGAACGTCCGCAGGCACGAGGGCACGGATAATATGGAGTTCTCTGACCTCTTCCAGGATATGACGTGGCTCGGTGTCGTTGGTATCCAGGACCCTGTCCGGAAGGGTGTCCCCGCGGCGGTGAGGGACTGCCACACGGCGTCGGTTTCGGTCAAGATGGTCACGGGCGATAACGTGGAGACGGCCAAGGCCATCGCTCGCGAGTGCGGCATCTTGACGGAGAACGGGCTTGTCATGGAGGGCGTCGAGTTCCGTCGACTTTCCGAGGCGGAGAGGGCTAGCATGGTCAGGGATCTTCAAGTGCTCGCACGATCCAGTCCCGAGGACAAGAAGATCCTCGTCAAGGCACTGAGGGCACTGGGAGACGTCGTCGCAGCCACGGGTGACGGAACGAACGACGCGCCGGCCCTCAAGGCAGCCGACGTGGGGTTCTCTATGGGCATCACGGGCACCGAAGTGGCCAAGGAGGCATCCGATATTATCCTCATGGACGATAACTTTTCGTCGATTGTGGGTGCGCTGGCGTGGGGTCGGGCGATCAACGACGCGGTCAAGAAATTTCTTCAGTTCCAGATTACGGTGAACATCACGGCCGTTATCCTCACGTTCGTGTCTGCGGTGGCGGACGAAGGCGAGCAGTCGGTTCTGTCGGCGATCCAGCTTCTCTGGGTTAACCTCATCATGGACACGTTCGCGGCGCTCGCACTGGCGACGGATCCGCCGACAGAGTCCCAACTGAAGCGGAAGCCCGATCCTAAAACGGCGCCGCTGATTACACTTACGATGTGGAAGATGATTATCGGACAGTCGATCTACCAGCTCATCGGGTGCTTCGTGCTCCACTTTGCGGGGCCATCGTTCCTCCCCTACCCGCGCGACCAGATGAAGTCGCTCGTGTTCAACACGTTCGTATTCATGCAGATCTTTAAGCTATTCAACAGCAGGCGCATCGACAACAAGCTCAACATTTTCGAGGGTCTATCGCGGAACCGGCTGTTCATGCTGATGCTGGCCATCATGATTGCCGGGCAGGTGCTCATCATCTTCGTGGGCGGGGCGGCGTTCGTGGTGGTGCGGCTCAACGGTCCGCAATGGGGCATCTCCCTGGTGCTCGGGTCCCTCTCGATTCCCGTGGGCGTTCTCATCCGGCTGTTTCCCGACTCGATCATCCGGTCCTGCACGCAGTTCGTGGTCCGACACACGCCGCGCATCCCGGTGCCCAAGTTTTTGAAGCGCAAGAAGAGCGCCGAGCAAGTGGAGGCGCAGAACGGCGTGGGGACGGCGTTCATGACGCTCCGCAACGACCTCGCGTTCCTGAAGCGCGTGCGCGGCGGACGCATCCACCTGATCAGCGAGGCCATCGCGCGGCCGGTGGAGACGGTGCGGCGCGCACGGAGCAGCAGCCGGGCGGGAGGGTCGGGATCGGAAGACGAGCGGTCGTCCATGTCGCCGATTCGGTCGGCGATGGGCTCGGCGATGGGCATGCCTGGACTTTTGGCGGCCAGCATCGGAGGCCTGTCGCCGATGGAGCGGCAAAACTCGGCGACGAGCGTCGAAAGCAGGGGGCAGGAGCAGCAACCAAAACAGCAAGTGTGAGGAGATGGGCGAAGAAGGGTGCAAAGTGCAGTGTGCATTGTACAAAACAGTATAATTTCCTTGATTTGGGGTGTTCTGGGATGGATAATTTCCTTTGGCGTGATATCCCCATATGTTTCCATATATTTTCCTCAAAGAGCGCGGTTCGGTTCGGTTCGGTTCGAGAGCGAAAAAGCATAGAGTGCAAAAGCAAAAGGACTAGACAAGATTCTGCTTTTTTCAGTCGTTACTAATTCATAGCATTACTAAGTCCAGTTTGCTGAAGAGATGGCAGTATCTTGAAGAATGCGATGCCAATATCATTAGGGGTGGAAGTTGCTCATTCCAGCCATCTGTGGCTCTGTGCTCTTGCTGGAATGGCACAATACACAATGCGCATTGGATATGTGCGCCATGCCGAGGCTTGCGATGGATTCACGATGCCCGCTGAAAGGCGCCACTTTACCAGCCACCGTACGAAGTAGAATGGCGAAAGCTTTATGGGAGATGGACGGTGCTCTTCGTTTGCGGGGGCCAGACTTGGCCACGATGCAATGGTTGCATGTGGTCTCAACTGACTCGTGGTCCATGGGAGTTTATGTTTCGAGGGCCACAGGGCCACAGGTAAAGGGAGAACGACAGGCGTTTCCTACCAAGAAAGGGAAAGGAAAAGGGAACGGGCACTGGTATGTACGGTTTGCTAGCCGTGAATAGTTCATGTTATTGCCAAGTTGGATGTCACTTTCGAAGAACTACCGCCCTGGGGCCATGCTTCTTGTCGAAGGGAGCCGTGGCCCGTGGCCCGTGGCCCGTGGAAAGGGAGACAGAATTGGGAAACGTGCGTTTAGGGGGGAGACATCTCAGTGTACGAAGTTGAGGACGAAGGGAGCGGTTTATTAGCAGCAACATGCCCAATGACTGCGGCGCTATTGTCTTGTCCAAGTTGTCAGTGAACAGGCCGAGGGCTGGACTGGAGGGAGAGATTATTATGGTTGCATGTGTTCAAGCGCGGCTTGTGAGGGGCGCTGGTGGTTGGGTGGTTGAGTGGCCGTCGTCGACCCCTGTCTCTATCGAGAACGTCTGGGGAGAGAGTCGAGGGCGCCGAGTGCACAGAGGGGAGGGGGGAAACGGGAAACGGCCAAATGTGAGGAAAGGGTTCAGCTTCTAGTATTATTTCGGAATCCTTTTTTTCTTCATCGAATTCCTTATACTCGTCCTCTCTTCTTCTTTCAATGTTCTCTCTTCTTTTGAGTCCACGGGCGGTTGGTTTTCAGGTGGCTGGTTCCCCTTATTCGATTCCATCCTCGTCTTATATTCCGTTTCCCTTTTGTCTTCTTGGACGAAAAAGACATCTATCTACAGACCACTGCATTCAGGGTTTACTTCTGCTTCCATCGATATGGCTGGCTTGCTCGATAACACGCTGCCTATTAGCCGGTCGACTCGGCAGCCCATCATCAGTCCCACCCCGCGCGACGAGGAGGATGACGAGTCCATGCCAACACCTACACTCGAGCCTACATCTTCGCCTATACCTACCCAGGGTGGCGTCGAGGATAACTCGGCTGCTGGTACGACAGTCGACTCGGTAGCCGAACCTACCCAAGGGCCGTCAGGGGCGGCAAACGACGACGACAATGACAACGACAACGACAATGACGACAACGAGGACGAGGACGATGACAGATGGCAAGGACAGGGGAGGGAGGAGAGAAAAGATGCAAATGAAGAGACGCAGGACGAGAAGACCCAAGGGGAACAATCACAGTCCTCGAGTCTTACTCTCACACCGTCGGATTCCTCCGCAGACCAACCGAGTCAGAAGCCGTCAACCATACCACCGACAACATTAGTCACCTCCGCTCTCCCTTTCGAAATCAGACCATCGTCGTCGGGACCCTCCCTTGAAGTCGGACTCACCACGCAGACATCCGCCGACGCCGAAGACCCCACCGCCCCTCCGAACAACAGCATTGACGTCGTCCCTTCGGAAGACGAGGAACTCATCGTGGTACCATCCCCAACAACGCCCCTCCCTCTCCCGCAACAGCAAACAACAGTAGCCGATCATCATGCGCATTTACTACAGCCCATCCCTTCTTTTGGCGACAGCAGCAGCAGCAGCAGCAGCAGCAGCAGAATCAGCGGAGGGGACGGACCAAGCACGGCGACGGGGACGGAAGCAGACTACGGCGCGGCCGCTACGGCCCTCAGCGCGCCGCCGGACGGGAGCGGCGGCAGCGGCAGCGGCAGCGGTGGGGGGATACCTTCCGGCCTGATGCCGGCGCTGCCCATCTCGCTGGGCCTGGCGGGTGGGGTCCTCGTGTTGGCTGTGCTGGTGGGGACGCTGTATAAGAGGAACGCATGGCCTTTCCGCGGTAGGAGGCGGGAGGGAGGGGATTTCGAGAGTGTGGTGGAGGGGGAGGAGGGGCGGGAGATGGAGAAGCGGCAGAGGATGAAGTGGGATCCGAGAGTGAGTCGGGGTTGGAATGGGAATGTGCATTCTTAGTACTTGGATATTTACTTTGTTGGCGGGGCGAGGGGAAGACAGATGCGGTAAGGGGCTTGATGGTTGTTCAGCAAAAAGGGGGAGTGAGTCGAGTTGTGAGTCGTGGCAGGTGTTGGTGTTGGCCGTAATTTGGAGGGGGAAACAAAAGGGGATGGCCTCACAAGGATCATATTGTCGTTTCGCAGAATAGGACCATATAACCATGTAATAATACTTGTACTGATTTACTTTGTCCTCTTCTGACGGTCTCGGAGGGATCGAAAAAGGGCGAAGAATGGTCCGTTGATCGCACAAAGTTGGCCCAACGCCAACTGGCCCAACTCCAGACTGACCTCCATGAATGGATGGAACGGAAACACGTACTTGGGAAACGTTCCACTGATCGGGCCTATACAGGAGAAACACAATGGTCGATTCGTTTTCCTTTTTGGGCTCCAACTTGTCTCATCGTGACGTTCGCGTTCGACGTCACCCCTCGAGTCTCAACTAACACGGAGCTTCCTGCTTCAGAGTTGAGGCGACTAAGATACTTCATATACATCAACACATGAAAAGGAGTGCCACCTGTTACGAGTCAGTTATACCCAGAGGTCTGGTCACCCGAGTAGTGAAGTCGTACGAGCTGTCCGCAGGCAATGTGGCGGCTGGCCGAGGCAGGCCGACAGACGGTGTAAGAACATGAATCTTACGATCCTCGCCGGCTACCAGTTCCACCATCAACATGGAAGGTTGCTACGATGCCGTTAGAGCGTAACATGAACCATCTCCCAAGTCTAAATAACAACCCTCAAGGCTCGAGCAAGTTAACTCCACAGGTTTAGAACATCCAACAGACATGCCCTCGCACATATGACGCTTATATGTTATGGATACTATTATTATCGCACTGAAAACACGTGAGCCTGTTTTCTGTGTTTCTATTAGCTGGACTAGCCCTATATTCCTCGCGTGGAAAAGGGGTAGATGTATTTAGAACACCTATTATCGCACGTCAAATAGGCACTTAAATGATTAACTTAGTAGAGCAGAAATCTCGTGTGTGTGTATTCTGTCAAGTTACATCTAGGAGAGTCTCTTATGCCCTTAATTAGGGTGGTGAAGACTCTATTATGGGTACTATGTTATTTAGATCCTATCCGGTCTTTTCCGGTATCCCTATTATATCCTAATACCTAAGGTCCCTGATATCCGAAGCCCTTAGTCACGGCGTGGATCCCCCCTAGATCCCCTATAGACTACGTTATAGTCCGTGCGCCTATACGATACACCCCCTTAGTTAAGGTGGGTCTTCCTAGGTTAACTAACTAATTAGAGGCTTCGGTTTAAACTAAACGCTCTGCTACGCCATATATGCTAGCCTGCCAGTACGTAGAGACGGCACGGAGTGCCATAGTTTATTTCTAGCTTAGTCAGATAGATAGCTTAGTCAGGAGACTGCTAAGGTATATCTATTATACCTCTATAGGCAAGCTCGTAGAGCTTATAACCTCTCCTTAAATCTATCTTCAGTTCTTATATCTTCTTAACACGCTTCGCGCTATAGCCGTAGTTACGGCCTGATAAATAGTAGTAACTATTTACTTCCGATCGTCACTATACTATACCCTATTTTCTTTTATTTAATCTGTAAATTCCTAAAAGGCGAACGCCTCCTATTAGTAAACTCGATAATCGGTTATATCCGTTAACCCTAGCAGAGCCTCTAATTAATATAATATAACCCGGTAGTACGCTGAGATAGCTAAGTCCCGTAGTTTCTCTCCAGCGTTCCGTAGTTTTCTTCCTCTAGCGTCTTTTCCCTTCTTTATCTTATACTTAACTGTAAAACCGTTATTCGTCTCGACTAATAACGCCCTTTAGAATGTTTTTTCCTATATAGACCACGGAATTTTCGCACTCTTACCGTCTTCGTACTTTTCGACTACCGCTTATTACCCCTTTTTTCGTTAACGTTATCGAATTAACTTACACCTTCCTCGTTAGTAGTTTCCTGCGCGTAAGCGCCACTTCTATTAGTTTTTGAGTTTTATTCCCACCGGACACGACTACTATAGTCTTATAGTTTCACTAGACTATCTTTTCTTCCTACGTTATTACCCTTTCCTAGATAGAACTATTATCTATAGCAGAACAGGAGATTTCTTAAGTCTATAATTTTATTAAGACTAACCCACTCTAGACTTAGGCATAGAATCTGCTACCGGGAGCTATCGCTATTATCGAGCAGGAAGCCTTACTCCTATAGGAACGGGCACTCGTAGAATAATAACGATAGACGTTATAACCTATAAGAACTAATAGGAGGAACCGTAACTCCACGGATCCCGACCTAGCTTTTCCTTCTACTTAAGTAACCGATAACTGGCAGCTAAGGTAACGCTTCGTATAGTGCTTCGTAGACTTAATATCTACTGTAGCTAGCTAGTAAGCCGTGCCTACTCTCGCCAGAATAGTCTTAACCCTTAGCTAGATTAACCTATTAACCCGTAAGGCGTCTAGAGATATAGACGTTAGATATTAGCCGGTCGGATAGCCCTTATTTTAAACCTAACTAATCGAAGGCTACTATTTAGTCGATAAACTACTCCTTAAATAGTCATACTTCCCTAGTTTTTCTAGCCCGCCCCTGCACTACCCCTATAGGAATTATATACGCTAATATCGACACCTCTATGTCGCTAATTATTATTTTTTAACCCTACTTTACTAGGATCTTTTCCGTTAAGCGTTATCGTGACCGCCTAGTAATCGCAGGACGCACCGCGCGGTTTATAACTACTACTAGACAGGAGATTACCCGCCCCGGAACCTACTAAGATAAACGCTAATATAACCGACGCTAGTCAGAATACATAATAGGCTCCCGCTCCGCAGGGACCTATACCGGTCCTATAGGGCCCGGTACCGGCTCCGCGGAACTAAGTATAAAGACCGGCCCCTCCCCCTACTACTTCTCTCCCTCCACCTATTATACTATCCTCGGACTAGTTTAAAAATATAATATCTTTCTTTGCGAAGTAATAGGTTACCGGAAATTCCACCGGTAATAACCGTTATAGTTTCCGTAAAAAGCTTACTTTTATTAGGTTTTTTAACCTACCTGCGGATAATAACGGTAATCCCTATAATATATAGTTGTATATCGGCGATACTATATATTAGTATAACGTTAGTTTATTTATCAAGAGCGCTAAGGACTAGGCTAATACTCCTAAGCTAAGGGAGGAAGTCCGTCTTAACCTATACTCTCTGTTTAACGGCGTAGTCGGCAGCTAGTGGCTTATAAGCCTGGACGCCACCTAATAAGCGGAGGTCCGGCGTGACCTTATTACCCTATTTACTACTCTTCGTCGGCGTTAGTAGGTTAATCCCGAACCCGTAGCGGCTAAAATAGTAAATCTTAAATTTACTGCTAGGGATATTCCGAATAGCCGCCCCTTCGTTAAATAGGTAAACTAACTCGCTAGGCTTTACCGGGCGTTAGAAGCTACTACTCGCACGAATCTCGATATTTAATAAGAAATTTAGAACTGTATCGACCCGACTCTAAGGGAAATCTATTAACGCCCTAATAGTCTTTTATACCTAGACGAATTTATACATAATATCGAGGCCTAAATTAAGAACCGTCGACTATTACTATAGTATTAAGTCTAATACGGAATAGTCCGCCCGGAGTAACTTAGCGAGATATCCGTTACTAGCACCGTATAATATAATAACCGACCTATATAGGTTATTCCTGATAATAGACTTCTAACCTACTACGCTAATAAGATTATTATAGAAGGAATAGCTAATTAGGGTTAGATAGGCTAGCGTATAGGCGGTTTTTTAGGCTATAACGGTGGCTACAGTTATACGGGAGGCTATAATCGCGGCGGAGGCTATAGAGGTAGTTAAGGCTACGGACGCGGTTAGAGCTATAAACGTAGTTAAGGATACGATCGCGGTTCTGGGAATAGTCGCGGTTTTCCCGGACGTAGGTTTACGAATTGGCGCGGAGGATAATCCCGATAAGGTAGATAGTTTAGATAGAACGGTAGATAGTATAGAGAGGAACGATATCCTTATTAACGTTAAGTGCGTAAATAGGTTAGAAATAACACGAACGATAGGGATAGATAGGTAGTATATATAGCTATAGACGATCCTTATAAGGATTAGGATAAGCACGAGTTACGCGAAAAGGGTTTTATATTTCTTAAGGAGGTTCTTAGTAAGGGAGAGGAAATATACACTTATAAGATTAAAAAGGGAGATATTAATACGGAGGAAATTAACGTGAATTATTCTTATTTTACTAGCTATATCGGTTATTTACCCGCACGTAGGCGCCCTGCTACGCGAATATATCGTGATTAAACTAACGTTTTAAATAGTTAGAAACCGGGTATACCCTGCCACCGTACCGTAAAACCCGCTATACCACTCACGGGTATACAGCCAGCTATATATAAATGCAGAAAGTACGACGCTATTTTCTCTAGTGGAATATAACTTTTCCGCCACGTTTTTAGCAATATATATATAGAACCGAAGCCTAAGGGGGGTTAGGGACTACACGGAATATAACGGGAATAGTAATAACCGTGGAAAGCTCCTCTACCTTTTTATAGACTATAGCCTAATAATACGCCGGCTCTCGATAACGTCGAAGCGAAACCTAATAACTTACGTCCCGTGTATAAGCCACTAATAGGACTTAAGCGGCCCGAATCGGTATATATCGGCTTTAAGGCGTTACCGATAAGAACTGCCCTATTACCTAAACCACTAAGACCACCTAAGACTAATATACTTAACGCACGATACTCCTTTAAGCCTAACAATATTATAGATGTATAAGCCTTTATAGCCCGAAATTTAGAACGGTATACTTACTGCCGTATTCCCGTTAAGTTTACGCTTAACGGACTACTTTCGGATATCTGCGTAGATTCCGGATACACTATACTACTCGTGGATCGGAAATAGCTAACAGATAATACGTATAATGTTTATTTCGCGACCGCCGCTAACCCTAAGCCTATACACGGCGTTATAGAAAAAATGACCGTTAAGGAGATTATTACTTTTGATTTCTATATCGACGGATATATCTAGTATACCCCTATCACCGGTTATTTTATAGTGATAGCCTGGGTAATAGATAGTCTTAAAGCTAATATACTTCTTAGTTCTAAGTTCCTG